GTCACAGGGGATCCTCTGCTGCTGTGAGCTCCACACTCATGACTACCGACTGAACTGAAACTGTGAGGGCAGAAGGTTGTGTCCATTCTGAATGTAAACGGACTTTTGTTTTCTCCCTTGTCATTGTTGAAACAATGCAGTACAAACAAGGGTTCTCTCCCACCCTTCATCACATGTTTAGAGATGGTTTAAAGTATATGGAACAATCCATGTAGCTTCTATGCTGTTTTATCTCAGAGACTTGAGTGTCCATGGGGACTCTGGAACCAATCCACTGCAGATACTGAGAACCATCATCTCCATGACCCACCAATTAATTCAGTTCACTCTCCTTGTTCATCCATTTTGGCACATTCATTTACTCCCTCTTTGGTTTGTAATCATATTTGTTCATTACATGTCTTTGTAGACCAACCAGCATATAGTAGGTGCCCCAAAGCTACAAAGAGGAAGAGGACAAATGTGTAGGAGGAAATAGTACATTCTGAAAGAGCCTGCTCTGATGTAAGCACAGGATCCCATTTGCGACTCTCACAATGGATTATTACATCCAGGATATTGGGGTTGAAAGGGGCCCTGCTTAGTTTCCTTGTTTAAGAAGTCATCAGTTTGCACTGTACAACTTTTGAACCTTTCTGGGAAGCCCATGCTCATTCTTGTCAAGCAGAACACATGAAACTTCCACTTGGTCTTTTACAGATAACTCGGTTATCTGTGAACTATCAACCTGCTGGCTGGCTGCAGCCGCCTCTGTGGCAGCACCTTCCTGTGAATAAGCTCCTTCTGAGATGACCCAGTTAAGAGGCAGACACACCCTGCCGCCTTTCACCTTGACATATATCAAACGGTAATGGGCCCCTCCTTCTCAGTGTCCTTTGTACAGCCTCCTGTCCTTTACAGATTTTTTTATGGCCTCATTAACAAGCAAGCATTCACACATTCATAGGCCCAGCCTTGTCTGATGACCATGTCTTTTATGTCTGTGTGTGTCTGGTGCCCAGCGCTGGACTTGGCTCCTGTTAAACCCTCAAGGCTTATTTGTAGTTGAATCAAATGGGTGGGGATGACAGTACAGTTTTTGAGTTGAGTCCAGCCAGTCTCTCCTTGGAAACTGCCTGCTCTTTTTCTTCCAGGATCTCCTCAATTATTTTCCTATACGTAATTGAAAAATAACAGTGTGATATTCATCTATCGGGTTTGTTTTTCATTCCTTGATTATATTAATATTTCATATCTCACAGACAGTAAAGTCGAGGTTAAAAACACCCCACAACTTCCATTTTACTCTTAATGAACTGGAATAACAGTGGCTTTGAGGTGAGTAGCTTGAAGACAGGCAGCCTGGATCAGGATCCATCTCCCCTTGGTTTCTTTTATTTTTTTTTTCAGATTTATTTTATTATTTTATTTAGGTGTGTGCCCATGCATGCTCAGATACTTGTGGAGGCCAGAAGAGGGAGTCAAATCCCTGGTCCTGGAGTTGTAAGTGGTTGGTTGAGAGCATTCCGATGTGGGTGCTGGGAACTGAACTCCATTCCTTTGGATGAACAGCAAGTGCTCTTGACCATGTGCTATCTCTTGAGCCCCCTGCCCTGTTGACTTCCTATGTTGTTACCTAGGCAAGTACCTAATCTCATAAGCCCCATGGTCTTCTCTGTGAAATGACTTTTCACTTGCACTCTGCAGGTGATCCGAGCTCATTCTTGTGATGGGCTCAGCGTCATCTCTGTGTATAGTGCATAGACGACAGTCATTTTTATGTTACATCGCTGTGGTTACTGTATTATTAAAAGCCCGGAGGCAGTGGAAAAGCAAGTCTGTTGATAGGGTCCAGGATCTTGCTGCTGGGCTACTGCTGTTGCTGTGGTGTACCATGCTGTAGAGTCTCAGAAAAGTAGTGCAGGAGGGGGTTCTGATACGGATTGTGCACTGTGTACGTGCTCGTGCTAGGAGTTGAACTAGGGACTCCTGTATACTAGACAAATGCTGTACCACCGGCATCCCCCTCCCAGCCTGCCGGCATTTTAACCTCTGGTTCATCACTCCGCACCTTATCCTTTTCATCTCACTGGAGGCCTTTGATGGGTTTCTGTCTTCAGGTATGGAATGCAATCTTCTTGGCTGAGGGATGAAGAATTCGATTATCCTGATTACCTTTTGGGGGACATTTCAACAGATGCAAAAACTGATTTTCAGTCCTTTTCCTCTCAGAGTGCATTCTGTCTGCTCCTGGACTGGAGGGCGTCAGCCAGCAGCTGGAGGAGGTTGTTCTATTGATGGTGTTTGCCAACTGCTCCCGGGGCCTCTGACGAGAGAGGACTGTGTGTTCCAGGAACAGGGGTGGCGGCAGGGTTCTCATGCTATGGCCCGGCCTGTCCTAACTGTGTGGACAGTCACAGAAGTCCCCTGCTTTTCCTTTGTAGGCCATGTGATGCTAATCAAAAGTGCATGATATCAGGGACTCCCCCAGGGGGACCATGCTTTTTCAGGATGAGGAGCAAGAAGCTAGGCTATGGAGGATTAGTTAGAGGCTGTTCTGTTCAGCATCTCACTGACACTTCTTTTTTCTGCCCTTCTCTGTGTTCCAGGTGTATGTGTCTTATGACTATGGAAAATCATTCAGTAAGATTTCAGAGAAGCTGAACTTTGGTGTGGGGAACAGCACTGAAGCTGTGATCTCCCAGTTCTACCACAGCCCTGCCGACAACAAGAGGGTAAGGAGGCTTCAGGGCACTGCACTCTGGGAAGGTGGCAGAACTGAAGGAGGGTGGTGCATGGAACCCTTTGCCATCTTTGCAGCACACATGGGTCACCAGCTAAATCTTTTCTGTCTAATCTGCGAGTTGGTGACAGAATACAGTTCTCAAGGTGAATCTTTGCATAGTGAGAACGGGTACTTGTTCAGGCAGGATTTCTGGACAAACAAGGGCAGGTCCAGCCACAGAAAATCTGCCAACCAATAAATCGCCTGACTCACTGGTGGCTGGAGCGTTTCCTAGGTACACAGTGCTAATCCTGGGCCTCCAAGAGTGGCTGCTGAACTATTGCTTTTGTTGGCATTATCAACACATGTCTACCTTTGTGTGTGTGTGTGTGTGTGTGTGTGTGTGTGTGTGCGCAAATTTTCTTTCCCTCTTCTCAGAACCTATGTGCATATAGAAAAGAAACTCCAAGAAGCAGGTATGGCTGTGCCCATACCTCATACCCATGCTAACCCCAGTTGGCATGCCTAGCTGCCTTGCTTCTTTAGTCAGTACCCCCAGGCAGTTGCATTTGGAGGAAGCATTGACCTTACCCCTCGGCCACTGGCAAATGGAGCTGGCAGAGCGTGAAGGGAACCCAACAGCCTGCTAGGCTTTCCTGCCATTTGGTAGCTCTTTGCTCTGGGAGTTATATTAGACTCTGTGTTTCCAGGAGTGGGAACTTCATGGCTTCTTCTAGGGAATGTCTCTGGGTGGAAAGCCCCCTGCACAGGAAAAGCTTCCAGAGGTGAGGGGAGCTGCTGTGGTCTGCTCATCCAGAAAGGACCTGCTGGGCCAAGGCCACAGTGTTCTTCTAAGCCCTTGGTGTTTTTGTTTGTTTGTTTGTTTTAGGTTGCCTTGGGTCTCCTAGCAGAGGCTGCGTTAAAAAGGTTTAGCAACTCATTTGGTTTGCCCTGACCAATCAGAACAAACCTTTTCTAGAGGAAGCTGGGTCTGGGAGGGTCCTTTTAGTTGCTAGATTTGTGGAGAATGTGTCCTGTCCACTCTCCACCCTCCCAACTCCTCTCCCCTCTCCCACAGGGGCCTGCCCGCTTGTGCTTTAGGAGGAAGCACTTGGGATGGTTCCTGGCAGTGGCTGTTTACCAACTGGTACCTACCACTAAAAAAAGAAAAAAAAAAAAAGACTGGCATAATCGTTACTGGTACCTGCTGGGTAAATAATCATCCCTGATCATCCCTGCCCGATGACCTCAGAGTAAAAGGGCAATTAACTGAGCACTTCCCAAGGGGAAAGCAAGGAGAAACAGGAAGAACTGGCCCTGGTCTACACTTCATCACTGGCTTTAGGGGTGTGGTCTTCACCACACACCTCCTGCCCCTACCTTATGAGTCAGGCTAGTCTTGAGGGCTTCTAGAGGTGGGAGAGTGGCCACCTCATTATGGGATTGCAAGAGGGGAGATGTTCCATCCAGGATTTGGCATGCTAAGGGGCTGGCTGCTTCTTCTCGATAGTTCTCTGCATTCTCTGCTCCTCACGAAGCAAATGATGCGTATACTGTTTGTGTTACCTGGGTGTGCTTACCTGGTTATTATTGATACCACTAGGTCTCTGCCCTGTCACAAAGCTGACTCTGCTGAAGTCTTGGCCTTGAAGCCTTCTTCCCCACCCTGCACTCTCCCCTTTTCTGGTGTCAGCATGCTCCCTCTAGCTTAGCACCCTCTAGCTTAGGAAGGCAAGCTGTGCCTTCCTACCTGTTTCTGATTATGGACAGCAGTGGAGACCACAAGGCTGAAGACAGGAAGGATGCTTTGAGCTCCTGCGAACATGTTTAGAGCAAGCAGGGATCTGAACTTTCAGTGCATTGGTCTGTGGAAGGTGTAGAACATCTGCCATGTTGGGGCAAGAAGGAAGTAGGGATACCTGAATGATCACACTAAAGAGACTTAGGCATGGAGAGGCGGGTGTGCTGTGTTTATAGCTCAAGTGCATGGTTTGCAGCATAGGGCTCTCATGGTGATCTGTTCATGCATGCTCTGGACTCGGCAGGGATGTGGACTGGGGAAACAAAGCAGCTGCTCTTCTAGAGAACATAGTGACAGTTGGAGGTGAGGCCTATAACTATGAGGAAGGAGGAAGGGAGGGAGTAGGCCTTTTCTGCAGCATGTCTACTTCCTCAGACAAATCTGTCAACCTCCCCAGATATCTCCGGAAGGTAGTGATGACATTGACCATGCTGGTGGTGCTTGTTACTTTTACCTTTGTCCCCCGGAAGGCAAATATTGCCCCACCGCACTTACCACTTCCTGAGGAAATCCACACAAGGCTGGGTGACTTGCTGTCAAGAGTGCAGTGCTGGTCCCAGACTCGTCAGCCATGTAAAGATGCCCAGTGGGGCTGTCTGTGTCTCAAGCTGATGTCGGCAGCTGCTACGGGAGGTCAGGATGGCAAGAAGGGGCAGCATGGATATGCCGTGGAACAGGAAAAAGGGTTTGAAGAGGCAGCCTGCCCCGTCTGTGGCTTTGCCTTGTGATTGAGACACAAGCATATACTTCATTCTTCTTGGTCCTGCATGCTGCTCCCTGGTCTGATGTGTAGTTATGGCCATCTGGAAGCTCCACTAGCCTCGGAGGCACCCACAGTCATGCAGGCAGTGTCTTTCTGTGTCTAGGTTCTTTGACAAGGGCCACCGAAGTGCGGCTGCGCTTTGGAGTCTAACCTTAGCAGGAGTGCAAATGAATCCTGTCCATTTTCCTAGGGAAACAGTAAACAGTTTGTTTCTCTTCTTTCCCTGCTTAGCTTCTCTGTGCTTCCAACTCATCAGCATATCTGTGTTCCTTCGCTAAAGCTGGAGAAAGTCCATTGTGTAGACAAATTCTGTAACTTACTGTCCTAGTTAGGATTTGCATGGCTGTGATGAAACACCATGACCAAAGCAACGTGGGGAGGAAAGGGTTAATTTTACTCACAGGTCCATACAACAATTCATCATCAAAAGCAGTGAGAGTAGCAAGTAAGGGAGCAGGAACCTCGAGGAACCTGGAGGCAGGAGCTGATGCAGAGGCCATGGAGAGTGCTGCCTTACTGGCTTGCTTCCCAAGGCTTGCTCAGCCTGGGCTGGTACCCAGGACCACCAGCCCAGGGTTAGCACTACCCACAATGGGCTGGGCCCTCTCCTATCAATCACAAATTTTTTAAAAAAATGCCCTACAGGCTTGCCAATAGCCTTTTCTTATAGAGGCATTTTTCTCAATTGAGGTTCCCTCCTCTCTGATGAATCTAGCTTGTGACAAGTTGACATAAAACTATCCAGTACACTTCCTTTACCTTCCCAGGAGCACCTCTGGGATGTTAAGTGATTACAAACAGGCTGCTGAAGTTAGAGTAGACAGAGATGCTTCTGAATCTCAATTTAGAAAGCAGCTAGTCAGTCAGGTCTGTTGGCCAATCCATGTGGTTGGCCACCACGGGCCTCAACAGCCAGGCATTTAAAGACTTAAGAGCAAGGTAGTAATTCTGTTCTTTCCTACCATGTGTGGGACATGTGACATAGCATCTTGGTGGAAGAGATGCTGTGGGTGATGAGTGAAGCCTGATTTTAAGTGGGACAAGGGGATTTATTTGAGGTGATAGGGCCATTTTTGGGGTGCGGAGGATTAGGAGTGGGGTTTAGGGTGGACCCCTGGTGTCAATAGGGGGAGCCTATATGCAGGAGGAAGGCATGGGTGGAGAGACTCCAAGAAGCTGGCTTATGGCCTCTGTGCAGGATGGCTGCTCTCCATTGCCACCCTGACTGCAATTTGTGGGTGGAGGAGATTGACTTTCACCTTGAGGACTCTGATAATCTCAGAGAATCTTTGATTCAGGGAGTAGCAGGCAGGAAACAGTTTGGGAAACATGGCTATTTCCAGTATGTGTGATGTATCAGAGGAGAAAGAACAGAGAAAAGTCTGGAAAATGAAACAGTGTTAGTCCCTGGTGATAGGGTTAGAGGGAGGAACCATGACACCAAGCTTATTGTGTGGCTGTTGAGGACCTGAACTCAGTTCCTCATGCTTGCACAGCAAGTACTTTGTCGACTGAGTCATCTCCCCAGTCAGTCCCCAGATGCTGTGTCTTAATGGTCTCATCACTTAACATTGATTCACACAGGGTTAAACTTCTAATTTCTAAACCTGTATGGGACAAACCACAGTCAAACTGTAGTAAGCATTCAGTATTCATTCTTAGAGGAAGGGTTTTAGGCTGTAAAGGACATAAGACTAAGCATCCAAGGGGGGAGGGGAGGTAGAGACGAGGAATCTGCAAAGAATTGCCAGAATCCAGAATTGCCATGGGAGGAGGATGGGGGCTTCAGAAGGGTGTCTCGGAAGGTGAAGGAAGGCGAGCTTCTGGAAACACTGAGGAACATTTGAGGAGAGGAGGCACATATGCGAGTTAAATCACGCAGTGGAGTGCTTTGAGATCAGGCAATGCTGCCTCTGGTTCAGAGAGCACCAGGGATTGATGGACTGTTAAGAATTGGGTTCTGCACCAGCTGGATAGGATGCTCCTGCGTCATCTTGGGCATTTGACTGCCATGAGCTTCAGTGTCCTCGTTATTAAAAAGGAGTATGATAGGATGGCCCAAAACACTGAGTCATTGTGAATGAGGAACAGCTAAACAAGATCAGCCTGGGAAACTTCGAGTTCCCTGCTTATCATGTAGCAAGTGTTCATAAAAAACAACCAAAGTAAACCCCCCCCCCAAAAAAAAAAGCCATTAGCTTTTCATAATCAGCGGCCAGTTGTATGCTGTTTTAGATTCACAACTGTGATACTGTAGGAAGGCATGAAACAGATTTCTGTAGCAGTCCTTTCTAATTGAAGCACTACATTCTCAAGGAGTCGAAATGGTTTGAGAGCTGGAAGGCAGCCTGTTTCTAGGGAAGACATCCATGGCGAAAATTACGATGCTCTTGTTAGGACCATAATTGTTTTTATTGCATCGAGTTTGCTTAGAGTAGTTCCTACTTTCAAAATATTTACTACCTTTTCCTTAGGTTTAATTAGGCCTCTACAGAGTGTGAGATTTACATTAGCTGCTTGAGAGGAAGTACAAGAGGAAGAATACAGGAGGGACATGCATGGGAGAACGAAGGAGGGACAACAGAAAGCCAGGTGGCAACCAGGGCGGGACAGCTTCTTGTGTACAGGCTGATGAGGGACTTCGAAGCTGGAAGCTCATCTGTCACATAGGGAAACGTCCTTGGACTGAATCCCTTGAGTTGGCTGCCTTCTAGAATGCCAAGAATTGGTTGTGGGTGGTGCTGGGTGCCCGTAGCTCTAGCTCTGATTCATTGTCTGGTCCTCTGGGCCACTCTTGTTCTGGGATCATGGCTGCCACTATCCCGCCTCATCTGAGCTGTGTAGGCTTGTTCCCCAATTTTTTTCATAGGCCTCTGAGCCTGTCATCAAACCTATATAATAGTCCCTAACCGCTTACTTTGTGTGATATACATATATACACATATATGTATATATATATATATATACATATACATAATATATACATATACATATATATATTAGGCCTCTGCAGAGTGTGAGATATGTTTATGTATGTATATATATATATGTATATATATATATATGTGTGTGTTGATACAACATATAACATATGTGACATATATATATATATATATGTTGACACAACCTAGAGTTGTCTGGGAGGAGGGAACCTAAACCTCCATCACACTGGCCTGTAGTCAAGTCTTTGGGGCATTTTCTTGGTTAATAGGTTGATATGGGAGGGTCCAGCCCACTATGAGTGGTGCCACATCTAGGCAGGGGGTCCTGGATTAGAAAGCAAATTGAGTCAGGCAGGGTGGTGTACGCCTGTAATCCCAGCACTTGGGGAGCCAGAGGCAGGTGGATCTCTGTGAATTCAGGGCCAGCCTGGTCTACAAAATGTAGCCAAGACTACACAGAGAAACCCTGTCTTGAACTCCCCCCCAAAGGGGGGAGCAAAATGAACAAGCCATGGAGAGCAAGGCAGATAACACCTTTTTTCTATGGTTCTTGCCTGTGCTTTTTGAATTTCTACGCTGACTTTCCTCAGTGATGAGCTATGTTTGGGGCATGTAAGCCAAATAAATCCTTTCCTCCCTAAGATGGTTTTGGTCCATGTTTTATCACAGTAGCAGAAAGCACAGTAATCCACCCGCCCTTCAATGACCACCTCTTATATGGAGTAACCTCTGATGCCTCGGACTGATCAGTTTCTCAGTGGTCTGCCTGCGTCACTGCTCATTTACCCTTCATGTGTGGCTAGCTGTGGGTATACCTACCTCTCAGGCTAGGCTGCTGCTGCCTAGGAAAGGGTTCTGGACTGTTCCTGCAGCATGCCCCTAGCATATGGCCGATGGTGTCTGCTGATCTCACATGCTAAACTGTGCTACCTTCATCTGGTCCTTAAGTCTTGAGGTGGTAGCCACTGTCATCCCAATAGACCTTGTTTAGAGTCCCTGACCTATTAAGAAGTGAAATAAGGCATGACCCTGCTTCCCACTTTCAGCTGTGTCTCCAGAGCACAGTGGGTAGCACAGTTGGTTCCTGACATCGAGGAGGAACAGCTTATCTTAGATGTAGAGATTTTAATGGTTTCTCTGGAAGGCATGACCTGTGGGGGCTTAACAGATGCTTGGAGTGATGGCAACCCCGTCTGGGTTCAGCCAATCTGAAGGGCAGGGTATCTCTGTCCTTGCTGCCAGGAGCTACCTTCCGACTGACTGAATGCTGCCAGATAGCAAGAAAGGCCAAGTCGATTGGAAGGAATAGAAAACAGGAGAAAGGTTTGCCAGCCTCGTGACCTGGTTAAACAAGCCCCCTTTGTAGTCTTACCCGGCCTGTCTCTACACTCCTTTATTTGCATGTGTCGCATGAGGGTCAGAGGGCAATCTTTGTTATTGGTCCTCAAGTACTGCCCACATTTTTTTTTTCAAGATGGTCCTAGTGTGTGCAAAGCAGGAATCTTCCAACTGAGCTATCTCCCCGTCCTGCACCCCTGTCTTAACTGAGCCTGGTTTGATGCATCCAGTATCTTCTGGTTGCTAAGAGATGTAGAAAAAGAAGATGAAACCCTGTTAGTGCTCTGGCCCCTGACACAGGGGCACTTACACACGGTTTAGGGATCTGTCCGTGGCTCTGGCCAGATGCTTCTCTGAGATTGTCTGTTCTCTCTTGCAGTACATCTTTGTAGATGCTTATGCCCAATACCTCTGGATCACATTTGACTTCTGCAGCACTATCCATGGCTTCTCCATCCCATTCCGAGCAGCGGACCTCCTCCTCCATCTCAAGGCTTCCAACCTCCTCTTGGGCTTTGACAGGTCCCACCCCAACAAGCAGGTAAGAGCTTCTGGAGCACAGACATAAGTAAGTGTGTGTGTGTGTGTGTGTGTGTGTGTGTGTGTGTGTGTGGTGTGGTGTGTTTCTTTTGGAATTTTCTGCTCTGCTTGGGTGGATCGTGTGTCCTTCTTGTGACCTCACCTCCTCCTTCTTCCTCTTCGTCCCTCAGGCTTAGCCTTTGTAGCTACTATTTCACTTACCACAGCTAAGGGAAAGAATACTCCTCCTGGCACCCTCTCTCCATGTCCCTGCCAGCACTCAGCACCCAGCACTTGGCAGGTCCTGTGTCTTCAACACTAGGCCTTTCTTGGTGCACACACATCTTTGCGGGCCTGTGGGGGTAAGTTGAGGCCCTGAAATTTGATTATCGAGAGTCAGTATGAGAAGTCTGGAGCCTGTGCTCTTCTGTGGCTTCCTGGCACATTTCTGTCTGACTTCTCTATTCTATGCTGCATTATTTTGTCTGGCTTTTGACAAACTGGGATTGAGCCCAGGCCGTCCTGCCTGCTAGCCACTCCTCTTCGTCTTGGTCCCACCTTCAGCATACTGCATTTGTACTTGCTTGAAGTTATTGTAAATTTTAATAGTCTTCCTTTTTGTTTGTGTACACCCGGGAATTATAAAGTGAATGATGTGTATTTCCCGTTTTGAATCAAGTTTGAAGGGAAGTAACAGGTGGTGGTGAGGGAGGCTGGGTAGCATTTTCTGTCTCAAGGGTCAACTGAGTCAAGTTGTGAGTACTACTTAGAGCATAAACCTGTGACTTCCTCTGCAGGTCCTGGGTAAGTTCTGGCTGGGGAGACGTGAATGCTTTTGCTCAAAAGAGCCTTGGAACAATTCTTTGGCCTGTGTTTGTTTAACCAAAACACAGATCTGTTTACCATTGCAAGCCTTAGAGAGTAACCCAAGCTTAAGGGCAGGGTCAGCTTACCAGTAGAGGTGGACTCTTGTTAGTTTGGGTCTCAGGCTTCCTCATCTTTTCTGCTGGGGAACCGGAGAAGCCTCTGGTGTCTACAGGTTTGTGCGGAATTGGTAACAATGAGCTGGTTAATTACTAACCGGCCAAGTTCATGTGTTTGGTTGATCCTTGTACTCTGGGCTCAGCCAGTGGCCTTAGCAGTCAGCTGAAATGACCAAGGCATATTTACGTTTTTGAAGCTGGGTATCGGACCCAGGGCTTCTTACATGGCAGATGAGTATTCTGCCACTGCCATGCCATTCCCGTGGTCTACAGAATGTATTTTGATTCTCCTTTTAGTGCATTTTTATTTTTTAGGATATTCTACCATTTTAACTTTGTATGTGTGTTCACAGTTAATGGATATTGGTTTCATTTACCTTGTGCAGTATCACCATCACCCAGCTCCAGAACTCTCTCTCCGTCTTGTAGAGCTGAAACCCTGTGCATGTTAAACCTAGACTCCCTTTGTCTTCACCCCCCAGCCCCTGCTAGCAACCACTGTACTTTCAGTCTCAGTTCTTGGCTCCCCTGGGTTCCTCATGTAAGTGGAATCACATGATTTGTCTTTTTGAGTCTGGCTTATTTCATTAAGCACAGTTTTTCCAGTGTCCCAGATTCCGGTGTGTGCCAGGATCCCCTTCCTTTTGCCAGGAGGATCATACACTGTTGTGTGGATGTTCTGCATATTCTTCATCCCTCTGTGGATAATGGCATTGTTTCTCCATTTTTTGCTTTGGTTTTGGCAGTGTTAGAGAAGGAACCCTGGGTTTTGCACACACTAGGCAAATTCCCTGTTCTGACATCTCAGTCGAAGTGAGACAACCCGCAAATGGAAGACAAGTCGCCCTCAGTTTTCCTTCCAGCTGCTCTGGGGAACAGACCTGTCCTCCCTTCTCTTCCTGTTTGCTGTGGTGTGCCTGAGTGCCTGTCCTCTCTGTGCACCGTGTGGGGAGGCAGGGTTTCAGCTGGTACCAGGGGCTGATGTCATATGGTGGTGGCACACGCATCTCTTCTTATGTCATGGCTGCTTCTTGTCATTTTGGTCTCTGCAGCTATGGAAGTCGGATGATTTTGGCCAGACCTGGATCATGATTCAGGAACATGTGAAGTCCTTCTCTTGGTAAGTTGTGCCAGGTGGCAAATCCTGGCATAGGAAGAAAGCCTCCCGTCTTCTAGCTCCTTCAGCTTGGATTAGTTAATCGGTATGACCAAAATACCTGACAGGAGCAGGGAGATTATTTTAGTTCCCAGTGTCAGACAGCAATAGTTTCTCATGGAGAAAGATGGCCTACCAGCTGATGGCAGTTGGAGAGGCTGCGTGGGGCTGTTCACATCACAGCAGACCAGGAGAAAAAGTGAGGAAGGAACTAGGAGCAGGGTATGAAAGGCCTGCCCCTCTTCACCTATTTCTGCCAGACAGGCCCTACCTCCAGTAAGCTTCCAGCTGGAAACAAGTGCTCAGAACATGCAGACTTGAACTGTAACAATGGACAGTGGATGAATAATTTGAAATGTGAGACACTTGGCTGAAGAAACATGCTGTTCTGATCTGAGTAGTAGAACCAGTTGGGAATGAGAAAGGGGGTGTTTTTCAGTTGATTAGAGGACTTGGGGGCACCCTGAGGCTCTTGCATTTCTTGCATATCATTCAGGGAATGATATCATGAGTGGGGTTTTCCTTGATATAAAAATCCAGACTTTGTTATATCCATTACATATTTTTATTTGTTTGTTGTTTTGTTCTTTTGCAATGCTGGCTAAAGCAAATCTGTGGATACAGTTATGGAGGAAAATAGAGTTTAGGAAGTCAGAAAAGACATTTTGTGTACATGCTATGCATCTTGGAAGAAGCAGGAAAATACCAGAGAGCACTGGCTGCCCTTCATCCAGGCTGCACATGGCAGGTGGGAAGCAGGAAATAGCGTGCTGTAGATAGTTGTAGACAGGACTTCATATCCAGAGCTGGATGGCCAGAAGCAGCTGGGTATTACTCTGGTACTTGGATGGGGAATCCTGAATTTTTATGTTTGGGCAGTGTATTGACAGAAGTGTGTGAGAAGAAATTGTGTAAGAACCTACAGTATTGAGGGCCAGTGATATGACTCAGGAGGTAAAGGTGCTTGCCTCCAAGCCTGTGGATCTGAGTTCAATTCCCAGAAGCCTCGGGTGGAAGAAGAAAACCAACTCCCGTAAGTTATCCCGTGAGCTCCATACAAAGATTGCACTATGGTTTGCACATGAATATGCACACACACTCACATACTTACACACACACACACACACACACACACACACACTCACTCACTCACTCACACACAGAGATGAGAGAGAGAGAGAAGCAAATTAAAGAATCTACAGTGTTTGAGGAAGGAATTTGGCCCAAACTCTGAGAGCATTAGGGAGCCATTGTAGGTTTTGAGGAGAAACAGTCAGACTGTCCATCAAGGACACCTGTGTCTAACTAAGTACTACTGCTTGTCACCTTGTCCTGTGACTTCAGTGGAACATCAGATCATGAACATAGGTGTTTGCATGTGTGCAGAGAGTGGGGACAGATTCTTGGGGACTGACTGGGTTGTAGGGTCAGCGGATTTGTCTTATTAATTGGTTATTCTGTTCCCATGAGTAACAGAGAGATACTCCACAGTGATGTCCCCTGAATTGAGTCTTGGTTGTTCTATTTGCAGGGGTCCTTGTCACTTCTCATCCAGTGTCTAGGATCAGTTTAAAGACATTGTGATTTGGTGTGGTGGAGCACGCCTTTGATCCCAGTGCTCAGGAGGCAGAGGAAGGCAGATCTCTGTGTGTTTGAGGCCAGCTTGCCTGGTCTATGTAGCCAGTTCCAGGACAGCCAGGGCTACAAAGTAAGACTTTTTTCTCAAACAAACACAAGGAAGGAAGGAAGGAAGGAAGGAAGGAAGGAAGGAAGGAAGGAAGGAAGGAAGGAAGGAAGGAAGGAAGGAAGGAAGG